CGAATATACTATTTCTCTTTTAGAACTTACATTCTTCAATTTAAACTAGAGAGTAGGCAAATACTCTTACATAGGAAAAATAATATTAGAGCCTGTTCTACTACTTGCCTGGGGGCCTTGCCTAATTTACAATTATTTATTAAATTAATATAAACCTGGGATTATAATATCTACATATACATTTTTGGAACTGGCGATTTCTACGAAGGTTTGAGAAAGATAGACTCAGTTGTATACAGGGTGTATCAGGTTTGAGTACGACCATGGGTCAATTCTTAGTATTATCGAGGTTATCGCAGGGCACTATCGCTAAATTCTTTTTTTCATAGGCATGTGTCATTTATTTTGCAGGTCTTCTATTAACATTTTGCACACTTACAATTCCCATCACGCAATCTTTGCAAAACGAATACAAACATGTTCTTTCATTAGGAAATCTTTCCCTGGTAAAATCTTGCTGCTCTAAATGAGCATTTTGTAACGATTCTCCGTATACAAGTAACATATATCCGAGGTTTGTAATCATTTTGTTTTCAAAAAATGATGAATTACCTACGCGCGTTTCCAATACTTCAAGTAACTGACAAATCAATACTCAGTTCAACTTCCTAGGATGTTTTGAAACTGAATTACGAGTATCATTTTTGTTGTGGTTGTTAAAAATTTTGTAGTCAAACCTGATACACCCTGTATATAGGATAACGAAAATCCAACCTACTCTGCATGTCGACTTTCGATGGTGAGAATTAATGTGTCTACAAAAGGCATCCAATTATTAATTATTCAAATAATTCAGCTACTTATATGAGGTGCAGGATCACTGCCTAAAGGTGAAATAATTATGAAATAGGATTTTTTGGGCAGTAGTCAAGATGTAGAAATGACCCACCAAACAAGGCAAAGTAAACCCTAAAATCCTGAAATACATGGGTAATTACCTGTTTCATCTGAAATGGCAAAAACACAATATGATAATGATATTGAGATATCAGATTGATGAAGCAGAAATAAAACAGTTCTGAATTGCTCAGAAGACAGTTTCATCTTGACGTCCAATAGTGAAATATCTCCAAAAACAATTTCTTCAGATTATTGATAATCTAAAAAGATCCATTGGAGAAATCTTTGAAGCTTCGTAAAATAATATGGGATAGTTTATTTTTGAGAGCAATGTTTGAAATGTTTTCATATCTACACCTTTTCCAATTGTAATTCAAAAAAACACAAATACATTTCAGAAAAGCTCAACTGCAATTCAGATTTCTCAAATGTAATTCACAAAACGTCAATTGAATTAAGATTTTTCAAATATAATTAAAAAAACCATAGATTTTGCAAATATAATTCAGAAAGCCACACTTGTAATTCAGATTTTTTAAATGTTATTCAGAAAATTTCATTTTTAATTAAGAAAATCCCAATTAATAGTAAATGAGATAACATCAGATGTATAATTCAGATAACAGTTACCTATAATTCGAAATAAACAGATTTTTTGATGTATGGGTTCCTAGACTGTGAACATTTATTTCAAAGGAAACAATTACATTGTTTTATAAATTGGGAACCAACCAAATTTTCTGAATTTCAGTTGGGATTTTCTGAATTAGAAATGAGATTTTATGAATTACATTTGAAAAATCTGAATTACAAATGAGATGATTCAGAAAAAATCATATACAACGCCGTACACGTGGTAGATGTGAAACTTCTCAAAAAGTATTCCCTCTCATACAATACAAAAGGGAGTCGCGCATCTGTACTGACGTCATAAGGGTATCGGCGCTTGACAATAATAGACAATCCTTCTTGCTTATAATCCCGAAAATAAATCTCTCAAACAAATAAAACCATCTAACCCATAGCTATTGTAATGACTCGGGAAAAATAGTCCCGATATCAATAATGTCTTTACTGTAAAAATTAAATATAATCAAATAATCGAAAACTGAATTTCCGGTATTTCAAATCAGTATCGATAAATTGAAAATGGAACAAATTAACGTAACCCCCAAATACATTCGAAATTATATTATTTCCTCCAGCTTGATGTCATCCTAACATCCGATCAATGAACTTTTTTTTTAACGAGGCCCATAATAATTAAATCGAATGATTTATGGCATTCTTGAATCAATGTATTGACCTCGATAAATCAGGATATTGCGACATATTTATTCGATTTTTAAACTAAAAATGATAAAAATTTCAAGGAAATTGCATCATCTTAATTGTCATGGACAAATAAATTTGGGGGGATCGATTAAATATAAATACCGCGGTTTAAGAAGTGGAAGTCAGTTGCCAGTTGTTAGCAGTCCAGTCCAGTTTGAGTTAAAGTCTATATATAGTACCTAATGAGTCTGTCGGGTTGAAATTCGCGAAAAGTTCTTTTATGGCCTCGGAAAAGATCTTTGAAAGGTACGGGAAATTGTGAAAGAACATTAAAAGGCGTTCAATAATTATGTGCGGGCTCTAGAAAATTTTGAGTAATTAATTAAGTAATTTTACGTGTGAAAAGTTAAATGTAAGTACTTTAGTGGTTAATAATTTTCTGACTTTTATCAATGATTCTGAATGATAAGAAGTGAATTAACAATGACTTTTAATGCCTAAAAACTTGAGTGATTTTTACTAGAAAAACTTTGGAACTTTATTGCATAATTATTAATAACTCGAGTGTTTTGACTATGGAACATTATTGCATAACTTTAATTGCCTTCAGATATAATGACATTCTAATTTAATTGTGCAAAGAAAATATGAAGGGAATTTATAATGCACTTAACAATATACAATTTTGAGTAGGAACGAGGCTGTCAGAATTGGAAGATATTTTGCTGATTTAAATTTTTGGGTTTTATGTATAATAAAATATAATTAAGTAAACCTCAATAGTTTGTTTCTCTCTTTTGCAAATAGACCCTTCCACAATTTTATAGGTAGCAGCTCCAAGGAAATAAACACCATCAATATACCTATCGCCATTTACCATCTAACTAATTACATAGAGTACTTCGGGCGTTTGGTTATAGTATCTTTGTTCAATTTTAAGGAAATTGAAATAAATTATACACCATTGGAAAGAGCATCAAATTCTCTATAAATCCGTGTAAAATTGAGTTTGATAGCTCAAATAGTTTTTGAGCAATTGAGCCTCAAAGTTGACTTTTAGTCCAAATTTTGTCAAAAATTTCAAACTCAATTTTCTCAAAAAATTTAAATCTGGGAATATTATAAATTACAGGCCATTTACAGCCTAATGAGAGCTACAAATGCTGAAAATTTCAATGCAATTTGCTCAACGGTGACCGAGCAATTGAAAAACTCGTTTTTTTATTTTTCAGTTTTGCTCAATTTTGACTTTACCAATCGATAGAACGGGTCAAAATTAGTGGAATACAGCCCTGACATCAACTCCAAATGGCCATTTCAAGCAAAAACAAAAATTAAAAGAAAATCCTATTTTTGGCTTTGGAAAATTTTCAAAATCTTGACAGGGTTATGAAAAATTGCCCATATCTTTATTAAATTTCAAGCAAATTGAAATAAACTATATACCATTGGAAAGAGTATTAAATTCTCTATAAATCCATCGAAAAATAAGTTTAATAACTCAAATATTTTTTCAGCAATTAAGCCTCAAAGTTGACATTTAGTTTAAATTTTGTTAAAGACTTTAAACTCAATTTGCTCAAAAACTATAAATCTGAGACTATTGTTAATTACAGGCTATTTAGAGCTAAATAGGAGCTACAAATGCTGGAAATTTCAATGCAATTTGCCCAAAGGCTACCGAGCAATCGAGGTTTGAAGATTTTGAAATTATAATTCAAAGGGAAAGAAGAAGGTTATGAAAACTCGATTTTTTGAAGTGAAACTTCTTAGACGGCGGTCTGATATTTGGACGAGAACGGAGAGTGATCTGAAATACGCGTCACGTTTTGACAAATTTCGTTACACGAGAGAGAAAACAAAATAACGTAGAGGGACGGAGAAAGACAGCTAATGACAATGACAGCCGACGAACGATTGATGCACAAACCAAGTAAACTATTATTGCCGAGCACCGATACTCTTGTGACAACCCTCAGAAGGGGTTCAAGAGTGAATTTAAATTGCTGTAGAACTTTGAACATTTAATAAGCATCCAAAACAGTTCAAATCAGGACGATTTTGGGACAATTTAGGAAGTTCAGAGGTATTTCAGAACAATCAGAATTTTGGAGCTTTAATAGGACTCTAAAATACTTAAAAATCTGTCAAAACAATTTGGAAATTACTGAGAAACTCCTAAAATGCCCCAGAACTCTTCAAGCCAAGTTAGAACATTTTGAAACTTCAATAAGCCATTTAGAACGTTCCAAAACACTTTCAGACTAATTCGGAGGCCTAAGAATTATTTTAGAGAGCCTGGAATAGATAAAAATTGAAAGCTTTCAAATCAAATTCTTGAATTTTTCCAGGCTCCTGATTTCTCCCTATTTCTTCATTTTAAATTCCTAAGTCTTCAAGATGCCTCTGTCCAGTCTGGAGTATGACGCACAGAAAATCCGAGGAAATAAAATCACTTACCAACTTTATAGAGCTAACAAATCTGAAACTATCGGCGAAATTGCAACAAAACTCAAAGATAAGGCAAAACTATTCAGAATTTCAGGTGAAATCCCTCAAAGGGTTACGAAAAATCGACCAACCTCTATCCCAGCTCCAAAATTCTTGAACCAATCTCTACATTATACAATAGACTCCCCATTATATAAAAAAACTGTCAATTCCAACAAACAAAAAAACCTTATTATAGTTTAGAATTCGAGATTATACCACTATATACTATAAAATAAGTATTATTATATCATAATATCACATCTTTCCATTTTAATGCCTTAAATACTCGCACTTATATATGAATAGAGTAGACTTACAGACTTACTAAATATTTTATAAGCCTAATCAATATTATATAATAAGGCCAGAAGGAAAATTATATAATGATTTTTTTAGACTGGAGTTCCCTCGTTAGACGAGACTAGTTGAAAATGTTCTTGACCTAGAAAAAAATAAAATCAAAAAACTTTTAATTCCAAGAAAATTCTCTTACTCAAAAGGTAAGCAGCAAGATCAGTGTCGTCACTTTGGAGGGCCAACAAACGGGGCGTGTTGCCCCTGTGATCAGTGGCGTCCAGTTTGGCACCGGCCGCTACCAGCATGCAACAAATGTCGCGCCACTTGTACGCCGCTGCTTTGTGAAGGGCTGTTTGTCCTCTAAAAAACAAAAAAAAAAGAACATAAGTTCCACTCCAATTTTGAACTAAGGAAAGTCTCGAGTCTCGGTAACACTTGTGCATAATATTAAAAATATTTTACCCTCTTCGCATATTGCGACAATATTTTGCCGTATATATAATATAGAAGTTTTCAACTCAAAATGCTCGATTGTTTTACAAGTTAAGTTTGTTAAATACTACCTACGCACAGACACGACTAATTATCTCAAAAACTTATTTGGAGAATTTCACTTTACACATACGAGAATAATTTTTTTTTTATTCAATCAACCCCTCATAAATGAGGGGTTGAAATAAATAACAGTCTGTCAGCGTTATGACGAAAGTTGTAAATTGGGGGGCCTCTATCTGATGACTTTTGAGACATGTTGCTTCGAGTTTGGGGATGGAAATTAGTCCTTCGACGTCGGAAAGTTTTCACGGTAGGATGCCTACATTAGGACCCTTTTCGGTGGTAGAGAAAAGGGGCAGAAAGCTGGATTTTACGCAATTAATTTGTCTTTATTAGTGTAATAAGAGGGTGTCTGAATGTTGTTTGAGAAGATTGTATTTAATATTATTGAGATTTTAGTTAGGCGAATTTGTTAACGGATAACCAGACATAATATGGATATGGATCTAAATGTGTTGAAGATGAAATTTTGGTCAACCCTTAACAAAATCAACATTTTTAAAAAGAAAATGTTAAGGGTGGTTTCCAATAGTGAATTTTTCAGTTCAATAGTCTAACATCAAGAGAAATTAAATCGGAAAGAAATAACCACTGTGAAGTTCCATTCCCTGACAAAAGTTTTCTGAGAAATTGCAGAAGATACCCGAACGATCAGTGGCGTCGGTGATGGATTCTTTATTACACAAACACATGCATTTATTATTATTCAATATTATTTGGTTTTAAATTAAGGAGGAAACTGAAAACATTTAAAAAACTGCAATATATACATTGACTTCAGACCTGTTCACTTAATAGTTTTACGAGTAGGCATTTTGATCGATCGTAGATCGATAGAGTGTACGCCACTGGTGTCATCTTGTTTCTAACAACCCCCTCAACCATCCCCGTTAGTATGATTCTAATCCCATGTACAGTTTTTGAATAACTATCATCTGATTATATAATTTTGTATATTTTCGTATAAATCTCCATTCGTAGGTTGATAGAGTGTACGCCACTGGTGTCACTCTGTTCCTGACAACCCCCTTAGCTTTCCCCGTTAGTAAGAATCTAATCCCATGTACAGTTTTTGAATAATTGTCATCTGATTATTCAATTTTGTATATTTTCGTATAAATCTGCATTCCTAGGTACGTCACTGGTTTCACCCTGTTTCTTACAGCCCCCTTCCCCCTACTCAATTAGCAAGAATTCAATCCCATGTATAGTTTTTGAATAGTTGTCATCTGCATCTGATTATTAAATTTGTATTAGGAGATTAGGAGATATGCGAGGGAAATAGAATGCGCTTAGGCGACTGCGCATCCGATTTTATGGTAACGCTTTAGTTCTTTTCACGTGGCTCCGGTTTAAACTAAACGGTTAGAGAAATGACATACGGTTTTCTAACCCGGTCACAAAGTGACGTGATGGATACCTACCACTCAAATTTGAGCGGTATGTTGCGGTTTGTTAAACCGGAGCCACGTGAAAAGGGTTATAGGGTGCCGCCATTTTTATCATTTTTTTACTTATGCTGTTTCCGATTAGTAGATCAGGTGCAGTTTTTTTTATTTCTGTCTTTTTCTTCGACAGGTTATTGAAAAAGGATGAAAATACACTCAGTGCGCATTAAATAGTTGTATTCCTTTCAAGAGCTTGAAACACTTGAGCTACCCGCTTCGGTGCATAGTCGCCTCCGATTTGCAGGGAACATATGCGTGGTGCAACAAACACTTTTCGAAAGGAATAAGCGCGTGAAGCCCCGGAGCTGTTCCGGAGCTCCTTCTAGGTGTGAAAGGAATACAACTAGGGCCGATACTTTTGCTCTCGATTAACGAATTTGATACGTTGTCAAAGTTTTGCATGGGCCAAGGTCCATAGGTATGATGTGTGGTTAGAGCACATTCTAAGCCCTGATTATTTTTAACGGCTGTTAAATGAGAGCAAAAGTACCGGCACCTAATATACCAATCGGAAACGCCATTAGTTTTTATAAGCCTTTTTACGTTGACAACTTCAACCTGATAGATTTTTCACAACATAACCTTTCTTTTGGTCGGTTACAGATTGTTGTTTTTAGCGATTTTTCCTGCTTTTTCTGTGATATTTTTATCAGAGCCGTGTTTTAAAGGATTTCTTTTTGTTATTTCTGCTTATTTTTGGAGTTATGAGTTTTTCATGACCTATTTTTCCATCACCTAGGTATGCCAGATCTACTGTTTTAGCAGTAGATCTACTGTTTTCATCCTTGATCTACTGTTCTACTGTTTTACCTTCTAAAACTACTGTTTTTAGGAGAATGCAAAAGCATAGCAAGGCGAACGTGCTCTGCTCTAACTCCTCTAACCCCAAGGATGATACCCACCTACAGGATTGCTTATCGGCCTCGTTTTTGATAGTCGCCGCCATATTAGTGTGTCACCATTTCCGACGTCATAACTGAGTCGTCGGCTGTTTAACAGGCTTGTTCCAAAAAAAAAATTTTAAATGTGCATTTGGCCAATGGAAAATTGTGCATATTCGTTCGAGATTGTGCACATGCTTAAAAATCGTAAGTGACGTCATTAATAGCGCCATCTCTTGGGTTTTACAGAAACAGTGATGATAATGGAAGTAACCCGCCATTAATGTGGCTGATTTGGCTCTCTTTTCCCGACCCCAGCAGTTCAAAATGTTTTGAAAATCTGTTTCAAAATGACGTCATTACTTTCCTTCAAGAAAAAATGAGGTTTTCAAACCAGAAGAACTTAACCATACATAACCTAGAATTTTTGTTTGTTTTTTTATGGTAATTAATTAATTACTGATATTTTCGAATGATCTATTTTTTATTTTTCAAAAATGTAAGAATGTTCATGATACCATAACCTCATGCACAAGACACAACATACGTATAAACATAAAAAACAGTCTACTTTCCTGCGCATGCGTTTGTTTTTGAACCGATGCGAAATCTCGTCTCAAAATATTTTCAAACAGTTTTGTTATGACGTCATTAGTTCAACGTGAAATAGGTTCAACGTTTAACCAATTTAAGCAGAAAAAAAAAACTTTGAGATTAGCTTTCAAAATAAATAACAGATGTCAGTAACCACCAAGGATAATACACACTACTAAGGATTGCATATCGGGATCGAGAAACGACATGTTGGCTACGTCACAACTGGTGATTTGGCGTGGTGGGGGGCTTCAGATTTGTTCTACACCGGCCTTATGAGGATAGTCTATCATGTACTGTAGTAGTAGTATGAGTAGTTCATAGGAGTAGTTGAGTAATCACAACGAACGCCCAAGGCGAGGTTGCCAAAAGTTTGTTTAAGAAAAATAATTTTGTTTTGGCTGGATTGTGAATGAAAATTGTGCATTTTTATGAAAATTGTGCATATGGTGCATATTGAAATCAAATTGTGCATAATATTATGCACAATTGTGCACCTTGGAACATCCCTGCTGTTTAAACAGGCTAGAAAAGGCGAGAAATAACATGCTGTCTACGTCATGACTGGTGATTTGGAGGAGGGCGGATTTGTTCCACACAGGCCTTATGAGGATAGGCTATCCTGTAGTAGTAGTGTAGGTATATCATCCTTGCTCTAGCCCAGTCCTAGAAATTGCGGAAAAACGGATGCATAAAAAGTAAATTTTACTCCAAGGTCATGAAAGTGACAAAAAACTACTCTGACTCCACTCCAACTCAGAACTCATAGCATTTTCGGCTTCACTGGTCTCAGAGCGTTTCCCGTCTGAGCGGTGACGTCACAGATCTGTGCGGAAGTTGTTTAATTTTTTTATTGTAATATATTTTCATATTCATAAATAAGCTATTTTTGTTTTATATTTGAAATATTACGCAAAAAATTCATTAATTAAAAATCTACTGTTTAAGCAAGCAAATCTACTGTTTGTTTTTATCCCAATCTACTGTCGGCGAAAAAATCCATCTAGCAACACTGCCAACAACTTTCCCATATCTCTGGGATTTTTACGCTATATTTAGGATGACGTCATGGTTAGTAAATTTCTGCTGCCAACCTAACAAAACTAATGGCCGTTTCCACCAACTATTTTAGGCTCAATGATTTTAGGGAAGCCTTAACGATAAGTATTCCCTAAACTGACATTTCTCCTTGGAAAACTTTTAGTTTAGGGAATACTTATCGTTAGGGCTTCCCTAGAATAGTTAGTGGAAACGGCCATAAAAGTACTTTTGAACGTATTTAAAGTAGGAGAATTTCAGATGTTTTTGTTTGGCAACGGCGCGCCAACATTGCATGACTTGTATAAATATTTTCATTTCGCTCTTTTTAGCTGTTGTCAGAATTATTGACACAAGACATTCTGTTAAATTGGTTGAGTTCGTTTTTGTCATCTTTTTCGTCGATTTGCTCCGAAATTTTGACAGGCACGTGACTGGATAATACAGTTTGAATTTACAAATCACGTGCCTGGTAAAATTTTGGAGCAAATCGACGAAAAAGATGACAAAAACGAACTTGGCCTTTATAAGAAAAAAAATAGGCATTGGCAACATTGTCTGTCCTTGTTCGATGACGTCATCCTAAATATAATATGAAAATCCTTTATTTTCGTATAAATCTGCATTCGTTGATCGATCGAGTGTCATCACTAGTGTCACCAAGGATAATACACACTATTACTACAGGATAGCCTATTCTCATAGGGCTTGTGTGGAACAAATCTGAAGCCCCCTACCACGCGAAATCACCAGTTGTGACGTAGGCAGCAAGTCTTTTTTCGCCTTGACGTAGGCTGTTTGCACCACAGGTTATAATGCTGCGGGCTTTTGGTTTATAAATACTTAGTTTTACTACATTCATTATCCTTTTAAAAAAATTTTTTTCTAGATCTCGTTTTCATTTTCCAATTTGCCTATTATGTTAATCAAAATTAAATAATATTTTTCATCATAATTTTAAATTCTAAACTACGACCGATGGTGCAAACAGCTGACGACTTAGTTATGACGTCAGAAATGGTGACACACCAAAATGGCGGCGATTAAAAAAAACGAGGCCGATAAGCAATCCTTAGTAATATCTGTGGTAGTGTGTATTAACCTTGGTTTCTTACAACCCCCTTAAAGGGGGTGTGACCCAAAAATAGAAGTTTTAGAAAAAAGAGTCTAAGAAAAAATTTTCAAACCGCACTAGGCTCTGAGCAACCGTTGCGAAGATACCGTGGTATAAGGTTCCCACTCCTAGCACTGTGATGTCACATGCACAAACTGAGTCCGTCCACCTTCCGGCACTGCAAGCGCATTTACTCATACTTGTTGGATATATTATCGACATTATCGTATTTTGCGTTCTCACCCCTATCGTTGAGTCAATTTAAATAGGTTTTGTAATTTTTGTGTGTATTTATGACGTCACCCGATAAATAGACGAAACTTTATTTAGGCGTATCTACCTTATCACTTTGAGTAGCGATGCGAGATTTTCACAAGAGTTTTTAGACTGTTTTTCTTTATTTTCTGAATACAAGTTGTATTTTCAAGTTACACCCACTTCAATTTTCCCGGTTAGTATATGAATATATATGAATAGTAAATAGTAAATAATAGTGGAATGGACATGGGAAATTAAAGAAACATTGAGAAAATATTCTTCGAGAAGTAGAGTCATAATATTCTTCCCAGTCATTCCTATTACAAACTTCAATTAGAGAAATTTCAAGGAAAACAGAAATTCAACAGGTTGGAATAGGAGCGAACAAAATGAGAAAAAGATAAAGAAATTAAAGAAATTTAGTAAAAAATAGTAACTAGACAACTAATTTTAGTATCTACCTATTCCAGGCTCAGAAGACAAAAATTCAAGAGTCTGGAATAGACAAAAAGTGAAACAAACAAAAATAAGGCGAATAAAGCAATACTTTCCACTTACAAATTAATATCCTTGTCGTTGATGGTGTTCGGCGAATTATTGATTATGTACTTGATGATGTCCTTGTGTCCGAAACGTGCCGCATAATGTAGCGGACTTTGACCAGATGAGTCACGCGTGCGCAGAGAAAATCCTTGAACATGAAGCTCTTTCAACTGAAAATATATCAGAATTCATAATATGTACCTATATAAGCAGAACAATGTGAGTTTCTTGTAGTAGTAGATGTAGATATAGATGGTAAAATATATAGAAATTATATACCTATTGCAAAGTTTACAAAATAGACATTTATAGTTGATTCTGTCGAAACTGAGCTCAAATCTGTATTTTGGAAAGTCAAGTAAAGTATTGATAAGGGGTTTTCATTCGGGCTTAATGGTCGTCGTAAGTTCGAATTTCTTCCTGACGTTTCGCTAGGATGCGTGGCTAGCATCTTCAGAGGTGCTTCCATGTCCGATTCTGGTAGCAGACTGACGCGTTCCCGACCGTAAGTTGTATTTATGTGTGAGTGGCTGTGGTGGGGGAGGGCGGGGCTTCACGGCACGTGGCTAATCTCAACTTTCTGGATATCGTTAGGTTGAAGTATAATATCCCTAATTTTCAAACTAACGATATCCTGGTCGGCTTTGATGTCGTGTCCCTATTCACAAAAGTGCCATTGACAGAATCTCTGGACTTGATATCAAGTACCTTCCCCAATGACATAGTTGAGCTTTCCCGGACATGTCTCACTGGTAGATACTTCTTGTGGAACGGCGATTTCTAAGAGCAAACTGCAGACTAGGATAATCGGAAAAATCGGCAGTTGCGGAACATGCGCTTAGTGAAGGGAATCATGAAATACTCTTTGATGAGGTCGAGCTTCTTGCACCGACTTCCAAATACCACAATCGTCTTGTACGTGAAGCTATAGAAATCCACAAACATACGGGGAACTTCAACAGGAAAGCAAAAACACTAAAACTTAACAAAATCTGGAACCCGATTCTCAGAAACGCCTATTGAGTACAGAGAAAGATGAGATTAGACACGTGCCGCGAAGCCCCGCCCTTCCCCCACCACAGCCACTCATACATAAATACAACTTACGGTCGGGAACGCGTCAGTCTGCTACCAGAATCGGACATGGAAGCACCTCACGTGTGCTAGTGAAACGTCAGGAAGAAATTTCAACTTACAATGGCCATTAAGCCCGAATGAGAACCCCTTATCAATAAACCTAGGCCGCGAAAGCCTCACAAACTTTATTAAGTAAAGTATCCTGACACTTTTTCAAAAGTGAGGCAACTTATATCTACATTATGTAAACTTCGAAATAAGTTCTTACAAATCCAATTACCGTTGTTAAATTTCCACTTTTCGCAGCAACAATCAGTTCTTCGTTGGGTCGTTCGTCTAAAACGCTACAAAATTGAAAAATATAACATCAGTTTCCGATAATCAAAACATATTCTGTTATAGTTTTCTATAAACAGCTAAAGGCAAAAACTTTACATAATACATTTGGGAAGCCTAAAAATAATGAATGATTTTCTTTTACACCTTACCTAAAGGCACTACAAGTTTGTTGATTTAAACTGAAAAGTCGATCTGCAAAGCTGCGTGCGCATAAAAAGAAATTCATTATTGCTAATTGGGTAGCTTACAAAAGTCTATAATCTAGAAAAGCATCCTTTTTTAAGCTCAATGTGAAAGGAGTTTGGCAACAAATGAATTTATTTTCTAAATAAAAACGAAACATTTATAATATTACAATTACAGAAGAAAAAACAATCTTTATTTAGGTGTGTCTTTTTTCTTCTGTAGTCAAGAATAATCTACAAACATTTACAATAATATATTAGCTGATAATATTTAAATATTATTCTATTCTAGCTCTCTTTTGTTTGAATTAATTTCAAGATAGCTTTCTCTAAAGCTCCAGATACTATGGCTAAAAAGTTAAAATGAATTTTGACAAAAGAGCTAAACTAAAATCTAACTTCATGCATTATTTATTAGTGGAGAGTACAATTTTAACTTTAAAACTAGTTAAAAAGTTATTTTTGTATGCATATTTATTTCAAATTGTACATCTCCACTAAGCAGTTTAATATCAAACATTTAATTTACCTTCTCATTTTATGCCCTGGACTCGTAGGACTTCGAGCCTCGTCTGGAGTTTCTACTGTTTGTTTATTGAGGACGGGCGGATGGTCACTGGGCGAGTCCAAACTTCCTTCGTCACTATTGAAAGAATAAGCGAACTTCAAAAGATTTGAAACCACTTTGTCAAATTAACAAATTTCTAAACTAGTTTTTGATTTTCTTGAGTAAATATCCGAAAACCCAGTCCGGCTGGAATTCAATTTTGCGAGTATCCTTTTTAGCGCATTGAAAAATATTTCAACTTTGAAGCTATTTAAAAAACTCCTAGCCGCAGTCACTTAGTGTAATTAATGTCTATTTCGTGAAATGGAGTAAGTACCTAAGTTTTAATGCGAAATTTGAGAGGTGAAATCCCCTAGGAAGTTTCTACCTCCATTCAATGAAGTAGGTACAGAGGAGGCAAGGAAAAATAGTGAACATTTGGAAAAATTATATCCTATCAATTGAAGAAAAAGTTACTGTGCAAAAGTCGTAGATTACCTCTAGTCAAGGAAATCTTGAGGAAATTTGTAAAATTTGAGACAGCACAAGAAACTTCTAAAGGTAAATGAAACTTTACAATAGGTAGCGAATTTATGTGCAGTTTTCTGCTTTTATGGTTTTTGTCTTTTACCAAAAATGTATTCAGTGACTGCATAAAATTATCGGTACCATCTGGTTAATTTTTTGAAGTAGATAATTCATTTATTGTTTTTGAGAGCTAGACAGCTATTACTGAGTTCTGGTTCTGATGAGCTTGGATCCTATAAAACAGGGTGGAAAAATAGTTTGGATGTTTTAATTAAATAGGAAAGTTTACATTACTTTAGATTGAGTTCTACCATTGGTTCTACCAGTTCCATATTGACAAAGATGTCAATGACGTCTTGGGTAATTCAACTTAGGTCGTTAGAATTGTCTCAATTGACAGGATTCTGGACTCGTGCTGGAGGGGATTCGTAATCTCTTTCTTTCTACAAGAAGATTCCTGACCAGGTGGTTGATTTTTCTTCTTGGCTCTGCCGATTTAATAAGTAGCCTACTTTCACTTCAATTTTGAAATTAAGTTTCGTTTTGCCTTCCTTATTACGCTGTGCAACCGTTCTGGCTCTATGCCGATTTAACATAATTAAAGTTAAAATTGACTGGTATGGTTACGATTTAACTTTCCACTCCAAGGCCATCCAACAACAAGGGCCTGCTTATACTGCTCATAACTGCTCACATGTGCTCATAGCTGCTTACACGTCCTTATAACTGATTACACGTGTCTCTATTGGCTTCCATCTACCTCTATTTGCCTCTATCGGTTCTACCTACTTCTACTGGCTTATAACTGCTTCCATCTGCTCGCTTATGACCGTCTAAGTACCCAAACCCAATCCTGGTTTCGAGGCACACCCCCATTAGTGGCAAATTACAGGATAGACTTCCCCTATACCAGACCATCCTACGTTCTATCTTCTGGAAGATAATGCTCGAAGTACTGTTGTAAGTTTTGGCAGTTTAAAGGAACAATTGTTGGGTGAGCCCCTTTTTATTATCAACAGTGGATTTTGATTCATGGGCAGCAATTTAAAGTATAGTAACTAGAGTATAACTTACGTATTAGGTAAACCCTTGCACCTCAAAACCTTTGATAGTATTTGCGTTTTTGATGCAAATTTGCATTATTTAATTTAATAATAATTGTTTGACTTGGGTAAATAGATGGCCACTTTTAGGTTTTTAACATCAGCTGATGAATACTTATTAATTTAGAAATGAATATAAGACACTTAGAGGACACATTTTATATTGCATTGTAATAATTATAATACTTTTATGAAGAACCCTAATATAGTGTTTATTTTGGAGAACTTTTATTTTATTGAATTTCTTAACCCAATTTCAGAGTGTCAACATCAGGGCTTCTTATTTCTAGTTAGGTTTGGCTATGAGAGTACTTTTGCTGCTTCCTGGTTTGTATTCAAGAGCGGATACTTTCTTTCTGTAGGGCTAAAACAGGTGGCGTCCTATATTATGTATTATCCACGACCAATCTACTGAAGAGTTAGCTGGCTGCCCAATAAGGAAGTACTCCAGTACAGTAATATTTCGTTGGCCACCTTCTAGGTTATAGTAGTTTTGGTCCTGGACTGACAATAGTCTGGGCAGAAAAATGCTTCTGACAAATTGAAATAAATCTTCTTATGACAGGAGCTATGAGGAACCAATAAATTATTGATAAAATTTGAAGGAAGTTCAGAAATACAGAAATAACATCTATCAAGCAATAAAGGAATGTTTATATGTAAAATTAGTGGTTTACTGGAAGACCACCTGGAAGCTTCTTACCTCGACCCAAAGAAATGTAAAGAAAGTCAGGAAAGTTTGTGGTAAAGTTCTAACAATGTAAGTCTGAGTAACTCCTGGAAGTGTAAAAAGATCTCAGAATTATTAAAGAAATTCTTGAAAGAGAAGGATTTCAACGGATATATGAAAAAAATTTCAAAATAACTACTAGAGAAAGTTTCTAAGCAAAATTTAGGAGATAGTAGGTATCTCCCTTGCTTTCTCTATATAACATCGACATCGAACAGTTATGAAAGAAATCATAACTTAAAAGTACGATGTTGATGAATTCACTCGGGTGTTTTCCTTTATACCATTTAGGTTTTCAGCAAATTGAGCACAAACTGGCAATCACTAAGTTTTAAAAATCATCACCCAGTTTCAAATCTCTTTTGGATGAAAAAAAATCGTCAAGATTCTCGGACTCGACTGACAACAGGCTGACCATAAAACCAGGACCGCCGAGAGCTGGGTCGGGCCCCGGTAAAAGAAAATGATAATAACGGGACTTTTTTTTTTTTGGTCCCCCAAATAAATAATGACAGGCCTCCCTTTTTCTTTTTTTTTTAGTCCCTACTTAAAATCGGGGCCCCCCAGGTTTTACGGGCCCCGGGAATTTGTTTTTTATTATGAAGTTCCAATGTTTTATTTGCAATACTGCATTTAAAACCGAAACAAGCTTGAAAGATCATTCAATTACACATTCGGATATTTGTCTTTTCGAATGTGACACTTGCAAAGCGAAATTCAAACGAAAAGGCAATCTTAAGGATCACATTTTAACACACTCGGATATTTATCCTCTTGCATGTGATACTTGCAAAGCCAAATTTAAACGAAAAACCAATTTAAAGGATCACATTTGGATATTTATCCTTTTGAATGTGACACTTGTAAAGCGAAATTTAAGCGAAAAGGCGTTATTCATCCTTTTGAATGTGACACTTGTAAAGCAATGTTTAAACGTATAATCCGGGCCCCCCAGGTCTTACGGGCCCCGGGAATTTGTCCCGTCTACCCCCCCTCTTGTCCGGCTTGCATAAAACACAAACAATTTATAGCTCTATTGGTTCAAAAACTACAGCTTTTGAGCAGATAGAATGATGAAAATTTCTGTTTTTGAAAGGAAATGAAGTTGTCGGTTTTACCAACCGAAAAGCGTGGAAATTGAAAATGAAGAGAAAGTTAAGGAAAATTGGAGGATTGAAGATTTTGGACTTGGGCGGGATTCGAACCCGCGTCTTTAGCATTGCCGGTGCTACGCTCTAACCAACTAAACCACCACGACACTACATAGATCTGTAGGTGATTTTTGTTCGAATTCTAATTAGGACCGATGCCATAAATGTGTGGGTCTATTGGAGGGTTGAGAAGTTTGGTAATGAGCAGAGAACCACGCAACTTTCTCTAACAACACCAAAACAAAAATCAAAAAGATATGTAGGGTCGTGGTGGCTTAGTTGGTTAGAGCGTAGCACCGGCCATACTGACCGACAAGGCACAACATTTTTCTTTATGTTTAAAAATCAATGAAAAGTGGGGTTTTCAAAATACCTCTTCCCCACAGAATGGGTGCTGCGCGCTCTGGAACTCCAACTCAGAGCATCCACCCACCATCTTTGAGTAAGCCAGTGTAATGGCCCAATGCTTGCCATCCGTGGTAGATACCAGCGACCCCAGGGTCATATAAACGACGTCTTAGGGCAACCGGATACATTGTAAAAAGTTATAAGCAAAAATGGGACTAGGGGCTTGATAGGTCAGAACATCGACCGCCAACTGGCCAAAACACCACACAGCGCGTTAGGCGCGCAGTGGTGTACAGTGTGCTGTGCACACTGAGTGTTAGTTTGTAAGTCTATGTCCTAGTTTTAAGTAAAGTATTGTTATTTGTAGTTAGAGATGGGACTAGCCCCCCGGCCTGTAAATGTACAATATGTTGAATTTATTGAATTAAAGAATTTTGTGTTGAGTAACACCGGCAATGCTGAAGACGCGGGTTCGAATCCCGCTCAAGACCAACATTTTTAATCCTCCAATTTTCCTTAACTTTCCCTTCATTTACAATTTCCACGATGCCATAAATGTGTGGGTCTATTGATTGATTGAGAAGTTTGGTAATGAGCAGAGAACCACATATAGGATTTCTACGCTATATTTAGGATGACGTCACATTTAGTAAGTTTCTGCTGCTAACCTAATAAAACTTAAAGTACTCTCTAAGGCATTTAAAGTAGGGGAATTTCAGATATTTTTGGTTGGCAACGGCATGCGACGTTGCATGACTTGCATAAAAATTTCCATTTTGTTATTTTTGGCTGTCGTCAGAATTATTGAAACATGACATTCTGATAAATTATAAGAAGAAAAATAGGCATTGACAACATTGTCTGTCCTTGTTCGATGATTTCATCCTAAATATAACATAAAAAACCTATAACTTCCTCTAACAACATCAAAACAAAAATCAAAAAGATCTGTTAGGGTCGTGGTGGCTTAGTTGGTAGAGCGTAGCACCGGCAATGCTGAAGACGTGGGTTCAAATTCCGATCAAGAACAAAATTTCCTATCCTCCAATTTTCCTTAACTTTCTCTTCATTTCCAATTTCTTCGCTTTTCGGTTGTTGTAACCGACAAAACTTCATTTCCTTTCAACATTGCTTATGCGGGCATCGCATACACCGAGTTTTAACACAAATGGACGAAACCTACATATAGTAATATAGTACTAGCGGTTAGTCTCAAAAAAGGGCGATATTTGGCAAATTTGTCTAAAAGTGCCAAATTTCACAGGGACGTTGTTTAGATCATTTTAAGCGATTTTGCCCGCAGGGCCACCCCAATTTTTGACTGTGACTCAAAATGACGACGATTTTTCAAAATGGCGGACCATAAATCGACAATACTTATTCATCAACGGTTTTAAACGTTCAACATGTCGTTTTTAACTAATTTTGGGACGTAAATTTCATTGAAGATACTTGTTTTGACATTATCATTCAAGTTCATATAAAAAATCTATACAGGGTTGTCAAAAAATATGCTATTAAAAAAAATCTTTTAAGGTTTAAAGTCAGGCCTATAATTTATTACAGCAACGCGAGATGTCAATGCTGTCGCCCCTATAGTGTGCCCTAACTTGACTGTCACAAAAAAAATAGAAATCTGCATTTGGTTAAATTATGTGATGGAACGTTTTTTCTTTTTTTGGCGGAAATTTGAAGTATTATTCTGTTTTACATAAACAGGGTTGTAGTTCCGACCAACGCAAATAATTTTGAACATTCATCCGTCGGATTTATTTTTAAACAGTGTAGCTACAGGCGTATTTCCAACTATTCTTGCAGTAGCGAGAAAACTACAAGTTCAAAAAATTTGAAAAAAATATATGTCGCGTAGAATTGCAATAGTAGTTTGTCATAAAAATAATGGGAAACTTCATCTATTCGTTTTGAAATAAATGGTGAAAAACTACTTTTTTTTTCAGTTTTTGCGATAACTCAAAAATGGCGAGTCAAATTTGCTTAAAAAAATTATGGATTAAAGTATATCGATAACCATAAAACATAATATTTTTTTTGGAATTTTTGAACACAAGGTTCAGAAAATAGGGGTTGACTTTAAACCTTAAAATGCGTATGAAATTGTTTTTTTGTTGATTTTATGTTTTGCTGTTTTAAATTCATGGTGAAACTACTGACATACTTACTAATCAATTTAATAGACATATACAGGGTGATCATGAAATAACGTAGTTAAAATTTGAAGGTGCATAATAATTATGTGTTACGGGTAAAGCCCGAATACCTATAGTGAAATTATTTAAAAAATAGTTGCAGGTCATCAATGACGTCAAAACTATTGCCAATTGCAGTTTGTAAGATATTGAAGTTTTTTTAACCCTAGTTAGAAAGAGATAGAATGCTGTCGGATCCATATAACCGAATCTGCCGATAAAATGAGATTTAGATTAGCACTCGTGGGCAATGCTGCCAATAGTTGCCTTCTGCAAATCTTTGGTTATTGATTTTAATATTTTGAGGTTTGTTGTCAGTTTCTAACGAGTCGGGGATTGATAGGGATATAATTTAAGTATACTTGCTATAAAATTGTATCAGTGTAATTTCGTTTTTTTGGTAGGTATTAGTGATTCTTATCAATTTATTAATAAAAATGTAACCTGGAAAAATGACAAACTTTACTAATCAAAGTCACGTCAAAGTAAAACGAAGTTGATGCGGCAACATTGCGACATGCTAACGTCATAAATTTTGATCCCCCACATTCATTGTTTTATTAATGTTCCTATAGATAATGTTATGTTTATTCAGTCTAATAATTTTATTCAGGGATGTTTAGGATTTTAGGTTTATTGTTAGGGTTTGGTTAGGCTTGTTTAGGTATGATTATGTTTGCAACAAAAATAAGCATACCGAAAAAAACCTGAACAAACCTGGGCAATTCTATTATTTTACCCGTAGCATAACACCGATAACTTTTTCTCTATAACAACAATTCAAAAATATACAAAGTGTATATGGGTTTGGAAGAACTTTGGATTTTATTAGGGTCTGAGAAAAATCGAAGATACATGAGCTAGGCACGGAGAAATGTATGGACTTAAGAGGCTTTCATGCGTATACTGGGTGCGACAGTGTATTTTTTTTCAGTGGAAAAGGCAAGAATGGAGCATAGAAAACATGGATGGTATGTGAGTCGGCAACCGAAGCCTTTAAGTAACTATCTTTGCCAAACGACCACATTCCATGTCACATTCAGGCACTTTTGGAAGAGTTTACTTCGAAGCTATACTCCGCAACCTCAAAACATCGAAAAGTTGATCAGTTACGGAAACAGCTCTTCTGCACTGAAAATAGGACCTTACATCTGTTCCACCTAGCTCAGCTACACTCACAAAACACTGTCTCCGAGCCGCATATCAAGCAGGCCAAATCTGGGGTAGATCGTTAGATATGCTTCAATGTGCTCCTCCTTCTCCAGGCTCTTGGGGTTGGACCAAACAAAATGAAATGTGTGGGAACCCGTTTGGTCAAAATTGACTTCCATATGGACAGCATGCAGGGAGTTGGAAAAGTGTGGGCTGCAAGTCTGGCTGTGATTCCCAACGTTGTTCATGTCGACGCACAGGTTTACCTTGCACACTACAATGATGTTAGGTACTCCTTTTCAGTGAAAATCATGAAGACCCTTCAAAATAAGATCACGACCCTGTACACTAATTTTTAATAAACTTCCAATAGAATCAAAAATAAATAAGTAATTGAATTTTACGACGCAAAATTAGTCAAAACCGACATATTAAACGCTAATAAGAGCTTTAAAAAAAAGAAAGAAATGGCCTCCATGTTGACGAAAACAAAAAAAATAATATCTTTATTGAATTCTACGACCCACATTTAGTCGGAAAAGACATCTTGAACACTAAAATCTGTTGACAAATAATAATTACCAATTTATGGTCCGCCATTTTGAAGAAAAGACGCCATTTTGATTCTGATGGAAAAACTAAAACTTTTTATGAACTCTACGACCCAAAATTAGTCAAAAACGACATATCGAACGCAAGAATTAGTTGTCAAATCAGAAATACCAATTTATGATCCGCCATTTTGAGGAAAAGGCGCCATTTTGATCCCAATGGAAAAACAAAACTTTTTTTATGAACTCTACGACCCAAAATAAGTCAAAAACGACCTATCGAAAGCTAGAATTTGTTGTCAAATGAGAAATACCAATTTATGATCCGCTATTTTGAAAAAAAGGCGCCATTTTGAGTCACATTCAAAAATTGAGCTGGCCCTCCGGGTCAAATTAGAATAGCCTAAAATACATCTTTGCCAAATTTAATGCTTTTAGACAAATTTGCCAAATGGTTTGGACTAACCGCTAGTACTAATAGGGTAACTTATTCGAATTAGGACCGATACCATAAATGTGTGGGTCTATTGGAGGATTGAGAAGTTTGAATATGAGCCAAGAATCACGCAACTTCCTCTAACAACACCAAAACAAAAATCAAAAAAATCTGTAGGGTCGTGGTGGCTTAGTTGGGGGGTTCGAATCCCGCCCAAAACCAACATTCTTAATCCTCTAACTTTCTCTTCATTTTCAATTTCTGTTTTTGTTTAAACGAGAATAAAAACTTACCTGATTCGCATTTCGGGTATCACTAGCGAAGCTTTATGATTAGAACTGGGTGAAGGATTCGCCGTTTCGTCTTCGGGCGTTTGCGGCACCGTCCCACCGCCGCACTCCAAAATGTACAAATTATCACAGGCAATGTCCATAACGTAGTGCAAATTCTCCTGGGCCTTATCTATGCGGAAAAAACGTTCGGCCGTGCAAGCTTCAAAAGACAAGAAAAAAAAATTAACCGCATAAAAATAACGAGGCTCTTGTCTAATTAAAAAAAATATAAGTAATTGTTATGGCGAATTAATGAAGTCGGCCTGGTTATCTTTTAATTAAAATGACTTCGCGAGGGCCTAATAAAGGTCTTTGTTAGTGAATTTTTTTGAATTTGACTTAATTAATTTCAAGATTTGGGGGTTGATTTTAACTTGCTCATGAACTGGAACATCATTCTTTTAATATAAAATTTCAATAACCGAAACAACTTCCAGATAAATTACGCTATTAAAAGTGGAGTCGTTTCGATCCCCGGACCTTTGCCCGTCGTTTCCTTCGTTCTAATTAAAAGATAATAGTGTCGTAGTTGTTTTCATTAATTTGCCATAATGGGAGGCCGAGTTTAAATGAAAATGGAAATCGGCCGTGATATTTCCGACCTGGGACTTCCTTTTAAAAGTAATTAAACTCCTATATTTTGGAGTTTCGTATTTATTTTAAAGCAGGTGGAATCGAGTAATTGCTTTTATTGCAAAAAAAGGGACTTACAATCGACGAAACACCATTCGGTGCTGCTCGTGTGATCTTTTCGTTCTTCCAGGATTTTATTGATTGGTGTTCGAGCTTGTTCCAGATCGGCTGTTATTATTATTTCCAGAGATCCAACGTTGATAGCTGCAAAATAAAAATATACAGAATTAATATTATTCGTCTGAGAGATCTTCTTTCTAGGAGGCAGTCTTTATTACAATTAGGAAGCATTACGAGGTTTCTGAACCTGAATATGAACCCATAGATTAGGCACTGGAAAGGCTAAAGTGAATGAATTGTGGGGACCAAAGTGACAAATTCATGTTGAAAAATATTATTATTATTTATTATCGACACCAGTTGATGACCCTAATAATCAAGGAAATTGCGACATCTTCGATGGAATAAATAAATAGGTATATATGTATATGTATCGGTTTATAGGGTTATTCTTCGCTGTTCGATTCCCAAGCTCCAGCCTCTTCTGTTGTTCCATTGGCCTTGTTCAAGGTTTCTCTCGCTCATTGCTTTTTGTATTCCTGCATTCCCCATGATGTTTTGGATCTCTTTTTCGTCTTTCTTGAGGTTGCTACTCTATTGTCAACCTTGGCAGTCTTATTTCGTTCATCCTTTGTATATGTTTATACCAGGTAAGTTGTTTTGTTTCTATGTCTTGTACTATTGTTCCTTCGATTTCCTTTATCCCTTCTAGATATTCTGGAGAGACCTTTGTATTGCATCAATTTCCTTTCAAATAATTATATTTCTTAGAAATAGCAAGAGAGCTTTAACGAAATTCTGGTATCTGAGAGCTATCAGCTTGATGAGTTTTTTTTTTAAAAAAAAAGAGATCCTAACTTTCCAAAAAAAAAATTAAATTTTAAGTAGGAGTATCACTGTAATGCATTTCAAAACTCACAACTTTATGATATTTGACTCTTTTTTTATAAAATTTCGATATGATAGAGCTACAGGATTACTGAGCTTTTGAGCTAAATTGAAGCTTGGTGGTTGATTCGTTGGTTGGTTAATTGGTTGATATTTGCTGGAAGTATCACTCAATCTCTCTATTGCATTTGAAATAGTATGTTCGAGCTAGAAACACTTTGAGCTTATAGCAAAATAGGTAGGTACGTCTTCCAGGTATTCCAACTTTTAGGATCTCGAACATTCGGTCATTACTTTGCAAAATTTCTTGTTCTTATAAGAGGAAGTAATGGGAGTCTTAAGATCCTGGATTGTTCAATTGCGAATGTTCTGTTTTTCTTTAAAAAGACTACGAAATTCTCAATTCTGCAGAACTTGAAAAAGTTTGATGTTTTTTTAAAAACTTTAAAGTCCTTGCTAGACAAAATTCTTGATTCTTCTCCATAAAACTTCCGAAATCCTGAATCTTGCATCTGCAAATTGTCTGGTACATAATTCATAAGGATCGTCAAGACCTTTCAGATTCTAGAATCGTGTTTTTGGAAATATTCTACCCTATGAATAAAAAAGAGCATTTGCTTTTTCTCGCAAAATCTGAAGCAAATGCTTCATCCAGTATGAATAAAAGTTCAAGCAAAACCTTATACCTAAAAGTCGGAAGCAAATACTCCAGGAAAAAGTAAATACTCTTTTTCTTATGATTAAAAGAGAGTATTTGCTTCAAATTGGGAGCATTTACTCCTTGCAAAATGCATGTATGTTTACTATTTTGGTAAATTATTTCCGAATATTCTTATTTCCCGTTTTTTTGTAGATTGTAGATTGCATTAGCAGTCGCTATATCTTGTTCCTGCTGCTCTAGTGTTCAAGATTTGTAGGCTCCTTCCAAAGGAAGCCAGCTTCCTGGGTGGTAAAGTACTCACCTCTTGGGGTATGAGCAAGGTATTTCAGCCTTTTGTAGAAGTGACTAGGGCATTCACAGACTAAGTGTTTTGTAGTCTTTAATGCTTGTTCGCAAGATCTGCAGTAATCGTAAACTGATTTGCCTATTGTTTTTAGGTGATTTCACCAGAAAATGCCCAGTGAGCAGTCGACCAACGACTCTTCCAATGTCTCTTCTGTTTATTGTCAAGAATCTGTTCAGATCTCAGATATATGAACCATCTTCATCTGTTGATTTCTTTGGAGACGTGGCTTCTCATTAGTACACAGAAGGCCACTGGGCCTTGAAAAGCTGTTCAAGCGCCTTGCTTCGTGAGACAGCCCGCCTCCTCGTTGCCCTCTCCACTTTATTCCTATCAGCCAGTTGTTTAAGTATATTTTTACCCTCCCAAACTAGCTGAAAATTGCACTTGATTGGGTTCTAGAATCTTTAGAGCCGCTTGACTGTCGGACAGTATGTAAATGTGCTCTCCTAAAAGGACTCTTTTAAGACAATCTTTGGCACAGATGCTTATGGCCAGAACCTCAGTTTGAAATTTTGTGGACGTTTTGCCCATTGCTAATGAGAGTTTAAACTTTAAAGTTTGGTTCAGTTATTCCAAGACCGACTCCTTCGGTTACCTTCGAACCATCTCTGTGTGACTGTGTACCACCAATCAACGGTGCCATAATGATGCGTTTTCCGCTTGCGGTGGCTTTGCGTTCTTCCATGATTGGCGTTTTTTTACTACCACTCACAGATTAACCCGTCCTAGGACGGGTTAATCTGTGCTACCACTTCCTATGGAATGTCAAAGTCCATTGATATTATCGTTCTGGTGGTTTAATTTGGCATTCGAGCCAGATTTAAGCAACAGGTACAACAGGTAATATTTTTTACTTCATTTCTTTGAAGCATATGCTCGCAAGTAAAAGGTCTTCATTATTCATATGATATGGAGTAAATGTTTCCACTTCTACCTTTTACTTGAAGCTTTTGCTTATACTTCTACCTTTTGCTTAGAAGCAAATGCTCTATTTTTATTCATACGGCTGAATGAGTCGATTTTTTTTTTCAAGACCAAGACCAAGACGAGAATCTTGAGAGAAAGTCTTGGTCTTGGTCTTCAACGTCAAGTCTTGGTCTTGGTCTTGAGAAGATTAATCAGGTCTTGGTCTCGGTCTTGATCTTGGTCTTGCTACCAAAACCAAGACAAGACCAAGACTAGTCTTGTGGTCTCGTGAAGCCCTAATCATATGTCTTTAAAAAGTAGGTTCCTATAATATAAACTTTCCAGGAAAGATAAATGAGATTTTGGAAAAAAGGGCATTGGTAGATGAATCACTCAATATCCCCATTGCATACTTAAATTCACAATTTCATTATTTTTAGCATTTTCTTTAGGAACTTTTTATAACCAAGAGCTATAAGCTTGATGAGTTTTCAGAAAAAAAAAATAAAAATTATAGGTAGGGTATCATTTTAATGTATTTCAAAATACAACTTTATGATTCTTGGTTCTCTTTTTATAAAATTTTGATTTGATAGAGCTACTGGATTGGATTACTAAGCTTCTGAGCGAAATTGAAGGTTGGTGGTTGGTTGGTTGATTGTTTCGTATTTGGTAGAACCATCACTCAGCCTCTCTATTACATTTGAAAAATCATAACTTCATTATTCTTGGCTCTGTCTCAATGAAGGTTTGGTATGTTATAGCTAGAAACTTTTCGAGCTAATAGCAAAATAGGTACCTCGTACCAGGTATTCCAACTTTTAAGATCATTGGGTCATTATTTGAATTGAAGCTTTAAGAACCTGGTTTGTTTAATTGCAAATGGATCCTGAAAACCTCTCAGATTCTAATCGGGTTATCGGAAATATTGTGGTCTTCTTTGAAAATCGATTCTAAGGATCTTCACATATTTGAATAGTTCTTTGTGAAGGATTTTCTTCAAGAAGGCTTTTAGGCATTGTAAACTTTGAAAATTCATTGGTGTTTTCTTGACAAAACTCTGGAAGATCCTGAACTCATCTTCTCTATAACTATCTAGAGTCATTACCATCAATTTGCAAAATTCCTGGTTCTTCTAAGGAAAGAGTCTCAAGATCTTCAATCGATTAAATTGAAGGTTGGTTGGTTGGTTGGTTAATTGGCTGGTTGGTAGGTATTTGCGGAAATATTCTCTATTGCATTTGGAAAATCACAACTTTATCATTCTTGGCTTTTTCTCAATGAAGGTTTGTTATGTTAGAGCCAGAAGCTTTTCGAGCTGGTAGCAAAATAGGTACCTCTTCCAGGTATTCCAACTTTTGAGATCTCGAACATTGGGTCATTTCTTTGCAAAATTTCTTGTTCTTCCAAGACGAAGTAATTGGATTGTTCAATTACAAATTTTCAAGCCTGGAGAACTTGAAAAATATTTGATACTTATTTTTTAAAAAACTTTAAATTCCATAGTCCTTGCTTTACCTTGATACTTCTCCATAAAACTTTGAAAATCCTGAATTTTGAGTAATTCTAATCATCAGTTCAAATTATCTGGTACCTAATACATAATAAGGATTCTGAAGACCCCTCAGATTCTAATCGAATTTTTGGAAATATTGTGTTTTTCTTTGAAAATGGATTCTAAGGAACTTCATATATTGAATCGTTCTCTGCAAAGGATTTTCTTTAGGAAGGCTTTCAAGAGCCTGAACATTGTAAACTTTGAAAATTCATTGGTGTTTTCTTGACAAAACTCTGGAAGATCCTGAACTCATCTTCTCTATAATTATTATCAGGATCCTCAATTAAGAGTCATCACCATTAATTTGTAAAATTCCTGGTTCTTCTAAGGAAAGATTCCCACAGACTCAAGATCTTGAATCGATTAAATTGAAGGTTGGTTGGTTGATTGGTTTATATTTGGGGAAGGTATCACTTCAGTCTTTCTATTACATTTGGAATATCACAACTTAATTGTCTTTGGCTCTTCCTCAATAAAGGTTTGGTATGTTATAGCTAGAAGCCTTGCGAGCTGATATCAAAATAGGTACCTCTTCCAGGTATTCCAACTCTTAAGATCTCGAACACTGGGTCATTACTTACATTGGGTCAGTACTTTGCAAAATTTCTTGTTCTTTTAAGAGGAAGTTATTGGAGTCTTGAGATCCTGGATTGTTCAATTGCAAATGTTGTGTTTTTCTTTGAGGAGCCTCTACGGAATTCTCAATTTTGCAGAACTTGAAAAATGTTTGATATTTTTTTTTTTTTAACTTTAAATCCCAACATCCTTGCTTGACAAAATTCTTG